AAATAGTGGAGTTTAAATTGTGCCAGATAAACTTTCCAATATTATCTCTTTCAGAAGTAGTAAAGGCTTATACATAGTTTGCTCTGAGAACTTTTGTTGTGTGGCTGGAGAAAAACAAAAAGATGTTTTCTCTCCCTGGCTTCACATTCCCCTCCTTTACACACAGACACACTCACCCACTCACTGTAGTGTGTGTTGCAAGGAGTGGTAAAAGACAGGTATGGGGCAGAAACTAATTGTGAAAGAGTTTCCACACGTGATTAGCCCACCTACCCATTCATATATACATGCATCCACAAAGTAGCCATCATATTTGTTACCTCGGCGGTATGAGAATTGCCAAAATTAGTACTAGTGTGGAGATTAGTGTACGATAACACAGTCAGTAGCAGTTGGTCTGAGGTACATTCTTGTGGTCACAGCAATACCATATTTTATCATCTCCTCATAGCACAAATCTTTTTAAAAGTGAAAAAGTATGCTACGAACAAAGCAAATTTTAAGCCAGGGAATTAAGAAAACAATTTTTTTTGTCGTATTTAATAGACTCAGAAAATGCTTTGTGGATGGATGGATGCATGAGTGGGTGTGTGCATGTATGCATGCATGGAAGATTCGGTGGTGGGTAGTTAGATGGATACAGGTAAAGGTGGTGGAGGGATGATGGGTGGAAAGAAGGATAGGTAAATCATTTATTGAAAATACCATCCCAGAGAATCAAACACAGTGGAGCGGCTAGAGGCTGAAAGAAGAAGTCAGCTGAAGTGAAAAAGCCATCTTTCTGTCTTAACAATGAGAGTTTGTGGTTTTGATTATCTACTGCCACTTTCTTCACTCTTGGACTTGTGAACACCAAAGAGTTCGCCTTGGATTATCCGAGTAGCAGGCCAGAACTCAAACCAAACTCACTGCCGTTGAGTTGATTACTACTCATAGTGGCCCTGTGGGACAGGGTAGAACTGCCACTTCAGGTTTCCAAAATGGTGTTTGCAGGAGGGAAAAGCCTCATGTTTCTCAGGGCAGCTGGTCCTTTCAAACTTCTGACCTTGAAGTTTGCACCCCAACCCATAACCACTACACCAGCAGGCTCCAGGTAGTATCTATATATAAGGAGTTCTGGGGCAGAATGGGATAGGTGTTGGGCTGCTAACCAAAAAGTCAACAGTTCAAAACCACCAGTTGTTCTGTGGGAGAAAGAGGAGGCTTTCTACTCTAGTAAAAGTTACAGTCTTGGAAAGCCACAGGGGCAGTTCTACCCTGCCTTATGACTATGACAGTGAGGGAAGTACCTATGTGACTGCCCGACCTAGTCTGTTTCCACCCACTTCCTCACTGCTCTTTACGTTCCTTGAGTTCTATTTGGAGGCATAGAGCATCCTTGGTGCTTTGTAATGGGGAATTCAGTCTGTGTATTTCTCAGAGATAGCCTTCGTTTCTCATCCCACTTCTTGCTCCCATCCGTAGAAGGGTATCAGTTGTCAGTGGCTGAATTCTCAGATACAGAGGCTAAGGAAAGCTCCGTTACCGTGGTTCTCTATTGTAGTCTGTGTTTGGGCATTTCAGCTGTTAGCTGCTACAAGAACAAAAGCAACACGTGTTATCAAGTGACATAATGTGTAAGGAAAAACTCTTGATAAGCTGAAAGTAATTTTACTGGAATCTCAGAAATCATTATAAATATGGTTCATCAAGAGTATTTTTGCAACCCTGTGCAATTATATTGCATTTCATAATAAAGCTACGTAAAAGCTACAAGACCTTACGGTACTTTAGGTTTATCAAAGACTGAACTGTTGGCAACATTTTCATCGTATTAGCACACTTGATTATATTCTAGTTCTGTGTTGCTTGTCGGGTGCCCTTGAATGGAATCCAATTCATGGTGAGCTGCTCTCTCTAGTTCCACAGGGCTTCCTAGTCAGCAGTCTACCAGGGAGGAGCTCCAGTGATGATGCAGCGATTGCAGCCCAATGCTTAACTTCTATGCCACCAGGGCTCCTCTGGGGGGAATTGGGCAGCTAATGATAATAAGTTCAAGAATCTTCAGTCTAAATATTCTAAAATTACTGTGGTGACTATTGAACAACTCTAATATCTTTAAACCATTTATTTGTATGGTATGTGAATGATATGTCCATAAAACTGTTGGGGAAAAAAATTCCAACCTTGAAAATGCTAACAGTCCATTCTACGCTGCCCTGTAGGGTTGCCATGAGTTGGAATTCACTTCCTGGTAGCATGTTGGGGGTTTTGTTTTCTCTGTACTGGTGCAGATCAGGTCTTATGACTGACTTGTTGGTTAGTAGCTGAGCACTTAACCATTGCACCACTGTGGGAGGTCAGCCTCCCCACAACTGAATGGGTCCAAGGGGCAGTAATTGTGTAATTGAGGGGTAAATTAAGGAGACATCAGACTAGATCAAGCATGCCAGGGCTCACCTCTCCATGATGACCTGTACCAGAAGGGGACTTTTCTTTATAGACTCACAGACATATAATCTCGGGCAAGCAAACCACCGAAAGCACATTCATAATAAGAAGGGCTGGTACAAGAGGCATACATGTGATAGGAGGGGAAGAAGCTAGGGGTGTGTGTGCAGTAGCAAGGGGTAGTACGGAAGGCATACATGTGACAGGAAAGCACATAGGAAATAAGATGTGCGGGTTCTAGAGTCAAGATGGCAGCCTAACATTAGTTGTCCCTGAGTTGGCTTGACCTTAGGTGTCCTTGAGCTCTTCTCCAGAGGAATAATCTATGATCCTTATCAGAAGGGAGTGGGCCCTACTTAGGGTGAGGCAGACAATAGGGTCTGATTGCTTTTGATGGCAGACAACCTTAAGGCAGATAGCCTTTAAGCAGTTGACCTTCAGTTGTATATAGGAGCAGCCATGTGCTTACAAGTAGCTCTTTAAAATTGGCATTAGTATAGGGGGACTTTGAGGGGAGTAACTTTTACTTAGGAGAATGTGAGTGAGACGCATCTCCAACCCACAAACTTTCCCTCCACGGGAACTCGGACTCCTTAAAGTATGAATGTTGAGTTTGTCCTCATACACTGTCTTCTTGGTTCTGTTTCCCACACACAACCAGGGCCCGTCTAATTCTTTGAAAGCTGAGTTCCCCAGGAAGTAGATGCTTGGGTGTGTCTGTGAGAGGTTTACTGGGTACTGTTCCAGAGATCAACGTCGGAGGGCCAGACAGAGCCAAGGAAGAAGTTAGCAGTGTTGCAGTCATTACAAGGCGTCCAACAACCTGACATCGAGCTCTGAGGATGGGGTTCAGAGTGTCTTCAATTTGGGGTGGGAGAGGCTAGGGTTCTATTGATGCATAACAAATACTCCAGGATCCAGCATCTTAAAGCGACAGATGTTTATTACTTCTTAGTTACTGTGGGTTAGGAATGCAGGGCAGCTGAGCTAGACATCTCTAGCTCAGGTTCTCACAGACTGCTATCAAGGCTCTGGGCAAGGCAGCAATCTCTTTAAAACTCAACTGGGCAATCCACTTCCATACTCTCCATTTACATGACTGTTGGCCAGCTTCAGCTTCAGAATCTCTACTGCCAAGTTCACTTGGGTGGTTGTTGGCTCTCCTCAGTCTGATGACTCTGTTAGCTAGAGATGCACGTTTCTTTCCACATGAACCTCTCTCTTCAGACATCCGCACAACATGCTACTTGACTTCCCTCAGAGGAAGCAAACAAGGAAGATAGAACCTTGTCTTTTGAAGCCTAATCTGAGTCATTCCCTTTTTTGGTTGTTATTTTTTAAAATCATTTTATTGGAGGCTCTTACGCTCTTATCACAATTTTATCTTATCACGCAAACTTCCTTGTGTCAGGCACATTTGCACATATGTTGCCTTCATCATTTTGAAAACATTTTCTTTCTACTTGAGCCTTTGATATCAGCTTCTCATTTCCACCCTCCCTCCCTCATGAACCCTTGATAATTTATAAAATTTTTGTTTTTTAACAGTTTTTTGGAACAAAATCCACGTATCTTACAATTCAATAGTTCAATCATATCAAGTAGAGTGTACAATCGTTGCCACGATCAATTTTAGAATATTTCCTTCTTCCACTGTTATTAGTTCCCTATTTCCCCCCAACCTCTCCTCCCATATCCCCAAGAAACAGTTCATCCAGTTACTGCCTTTGTAGATTCACTCCTCCTGGATTTCCTATACTGGAAGACATACAAAAACAAAAAAGAAAGACACCCAGAAAAGCTAACAACAACAACAACAAAATGGAGGAACCCCTCAATAGAAAAGAGGCAGACAATATTAAAAGCTAAAATAACTTTACAATGAGTCAAAGGGGAGACAAAATGACAAGGTATTAAATTTTAACCTAACTACATCTGCCATAGAATCCACTTTCCAATACACTCTCCATGCTGTCAAGGCTATTCACATCCCTGGTCTCTGATCAGAGGGAATTCTCTGGAGAATTAATTCACATGTGTGTCCCCTCCACCCACCTTTTTTTTTTTTTAAGGAAAACAATCCATTCACATTTATTTCATTTGTCAGGAGCAAGTCATTGGGTCTGACCTCAGGAGTAAGGATAACACACGGCATGAATTCCCCAGGGGTGGGGTCTTTGGTGTCCACCTCAGAGGCTGCCAGCTAACCAAGCCTCTCAGTCACCGGTCACTAGATGCATGTTCCCAAAGAGGGTGTACAGCTGAGGACTGGGGGTTCTCACTGGTTAAGCAATGGTATCCCTAATTCCTCAGCTGTCAGCATAAATCCTTCAGTCCCCAAAGGGGGCTCAGGGAGGTGTACTCACAGCATGTACTTCAATATGACAGCTCTTGTTTAACTAGAATATTTAACAAACCAGAATTTCTCCATCTTGTTTAAGTTGTGCAATATGTAATATTTCCTTACCAGTTTTTAAGGAGAATACTGTACCATGTGCCAGAACCTTTGTCTTTAATACAAAATATCTTTTGAGCTTCTTATTGTTAAAAAATATTTTCATGTTTTGTAGGTGGAAAAGGAGAACAAATCCCCGACTTTGTCACATTTCTTTATCAAATAACCAGCGGAATTGCAGCAAGGAGTTATGGACTCAATGTGGCAAAACTCGCAGATATTCCTGGAGAAATTTTAAGGACAGCAGCTTGCAAATCCAAGGACCTTGAAGGACTAGTAAATATGAAAAGGTCAGAAGGATTGTGTTTCCTTTTCGGTATATGTTGAAAGCTTCCAATGGTCCACGTGTAAGCGATTTTCTAAGTGAATGTTAGTTAGACCTTGGCAACTATTCTGAAACAGCAAATTGTGACAAAATGAAAATAGCTTTTGGCAAAAGCTCATATGAATTTTATCCATCTTTCCTGTTCAGTTAAAGACCAAACCAAGCTTACTGCAGTTGATTGATCCTGACTCATAATGACCCTATAAGACAAAGTAGAACTGCCTCTGTGGGTTTCTGAGGCTATATATCTTTATGGGAACAGAAGCCTCATTCTTTCTCCCACAGAGTAACTGGTGGGTTTTAAGTTAATTTCTTCATATGTTGTCTAAAACAGTAATTATACAAAAAGTCATTGAAACAAACCTTCAGAGTGTTTAGAACCTACGGTTAGAGTAAACCAGCCTCTAACAACCGAGTGAGATCCGTGGGTGCAATTGTACAGCGATAATACATAAAGACCATAGGAAAGTCATAGAGGAAAGATAGGAGAGAAGATAAAGTAAAGGAGTCGGACCCATGCTATGGTAGCAGGCTCACCTCCAAGACGGCCATGATCTCAGGAGCCAGGTCCATGCAGAGCAGGAGGAGGAGGAGAGCAAATATAGTGCATGCCTTAGAAGGCATGCAAGCCCCCCTGATATGTGCCTGTAACTGTTCTCATTGCTTCCCGTGCATTAACTCATTTAATCTTTATGACAGCCTTGTATGCGGGGAACTGTTGTTAACTCCAAGTTCTAGTTGGGAAACATGAGAGGATGTCCAAGAGAGGACAGAGTAGTTACTATTTGCTGGCAGGGTAGTCACTGGAATTCAGATACTTGGGTTCCAGACCTTGAAAGCTTAACTGGGAGGCCCTATAGAAGGTCAGTGTTCTGTTGTCTTTCATTGTACTATTTCATTAACTGGCTTTGTGGGACTCAGTCACACAATTAGTGGGAGTAATTTTGTCATCACATGCTCAGGTGGCGTCTGTATGATCTAGAGGGGAATAAAAAAGCAATATTCTCTCTCCCTCCTCCCCCCCACACCCCGGAGACAGTAGGAGGCCTGGTGGTATAGTGGTGACACATTGGGCTGATGACTGGAAGGTCAGCAGTTCTAAACCACCAGCCAATCTGCTGGAGAAAGGTGAGGCTTTATACGCCCATAAGGAGTTGCGATCTTGGGAACTCATAGCGGCAGTTGTACCCTATCCGATAGGGTCACTGTGAGTTGGAATCAACTTGGTGGCAGTGAGTTTGGTTTGGGGAGTTGGAGACAGCAGTAGTGGTCACCAGCAACTTTGGTCCCTTGATTCCTGCAGCAGCATTGCCAACTCCACTCACCAGAAGGGTGATGCTGACATATCTTCCTGACAACAATGTTCCTAAGGATTTTCATAGCTTTCAATGAGATGTGTTATCCCCCACCAATTTCATTTCTAAAATACTTAGTGTTTTATTTTCTTTCCAGGAAAAGGCTAAAATATTTTGCAAAGTTATGGACAATAGATGAAGCAGAAGACCTCCAAAAGTGGACAAGTGAGTTTGACTTAGAAGAAATTACGGGTGACTCTTCTTGATTGAAATGAAGACTACGTTTTTGGATGGAACAACAAACACTCCAGGACAGGCCCGTCTTTGTAGGACTCGGAAGCACTGCAGATTCATGACCACTGGAATGTCCCCGGTGGAATAGCGCCACTGGAAACCTCGAGGCCTTGTGTGTTGAGAGCCCTTTTAATAGGTCCCTGTCTTCCGACTTTTAAAAGTATAAATTCCATTGAATGTTAAGACCTCCGCATGTACTTAGACAATTTAATGGACAGTAAGCTTCATATAAAATCAAAGCCTCTCAGGAAAACTTATAGTGGTGTTATATAATTCATGAACTTTTAGAGAGATACAAAAATAAATAAATTCACATTGTTATTTGTTTTAGTTCAGATCACTTGCAAGAGGGTGAAATACCTGGCAAAAACCTACCCTTCCATTTTAACTAAAATAATTGTATAAAGCCAAGAGCTTAATCACCGTGAGCATAAGAATTTTAGATGAGAAATAGCATTACCAAACTTTTTGCAATTCGAGCCCAGCAGTAATAAACTTATATGAAATGTGAAAGTTAAATATTGTCACAATTTTAAGCAGTTGGATTAAATGACTTGTCATTTCTTCAGTTGGTAAACAGTTAGTGAACGTCGCTCCAACACATCCATTCTGGCTGATGGCAACCCCACGTGACATAGCAGAAGTGTTCCACAGGGATTTGGGGCCTGCCTGTGCAAAAGAAGGTCGCCTGCCAGGTCCTTCGCCCATGAGGCCCACAGTGAGGGTTCAAACCTCCAACCTTTGGGTTAACAGCTAAGCACTTAACTTTGTGCCACCAAGGTTCTCTAACTAATGAATACCTGCTATAAATTGTGGTATGTCCTTTTGAACTTTTTGAAATTTTCTAATATATTTTGAAAAAATTAGCTATCGAGTTTCTTAGGTTTAATTACAGAATCAAGGTGCATGTATCATAGCAATGCCCAGAATTGAACTTACCAATTTTAGATCTTTCTGTTAATTACCATAGGAAATGTCGATTTCCCCAGTATGGAGCACTAGCACTTTAGAGACTCATAACCACGCTCCTCCTTCCATGTTCTTGGTGAATTGTGCTCAGCTGTATCCCCCGGGTTTGTACACCACTTACACTGCTCCCTTTGCTTTTAAACATGTGATCTTGCACCAAGGCTCTCCATCTTATTTCCTACGCTATTCCTTTCTTTGCTCAGTTAAATGCTGTCCTCACATTTGATGGGCGAGTGAGTGGTGACTACACTTCGGAGTCACTCAGATTAGCCCTCTGCTTCCCACGGGTTTTTCAAGTTAGAGTATCATGTGCTTTGATTGCATCCTCTACCATCCCAGAAATAGTAAGGTCTAATGAAATTTTCAAAATGTTCTCAAAATAGACTTGGTTGAAAAATATTCTTCAAAAATTTTTAAGAAGAGCAAAATAGTATTGTGTTTTGTCTTCTTTCTATCCACATTTCAGAGGTAATCACACTCGGATCTTATAAGGAACATGGATAGGCCTTGCAGCATTTCTCACAATAGCAAAAAGAACAGACCTAAGTGCCCAACAATGGATGAATAGCTAAACAGTGTGGTGCATGCATACAATGGAATACGACACCGCCATAAATATCACCATGAGTTCTCAAAATGTCTTTTTAAAAAATAAATAAAGTTTTATTGGTGGTCTTAAAGTTCTTATGACAATCCATGCATCACTTGTATCAAGCACATTTTGTACCTATGTTGCCATCATCCTTGCAACACATTTTCTTCCTACTTGAGCCTTTAGTATCAGCTCCTCTTTTTTCCCCTCCCTCCCCCACCCTCCCCTCCTTGTGAACCCTTGAAACATTATAGATTATTATTATCTTTATATCTTACACCGTCCATTGTCTCCCTTCACCCACGTTTCTTTTGTTCATCCTCGGGGAGGGGTGGGGGGAAGGTGATTATAACGTCAATCATTGCTATCAGTTTCCCCTTTCTCCCCCTTCTCCCTGCACCTCCCCGTCACCCTCATTATATCATTACTCTTCCTGGGGGGTTTATCTGCCCTGGATTCCGTGTGTCCAGGGTTTTTATCTGTACCAATGTACATGCTCTGGTCTAGCCGCATTTGTAAGGTAGACCTGGGGTCATGATAGTGGTGGGGAGGGTAGCATTAAAGAACTAGAGGAATGTGTGCATTTCCTCAGTGTTATACTGCACCCTGGCTGACTTGTCCCTTCCTTGTGGCCCTTCAGTGAGGGGATGTCCAATTGTGTGTAGATGGATTTTGCGTCTCCACTCTGAGTCCTCCCTGTTAACATCGATGTGATTGTTTGGGATCTTCTGGTCCCTAATATCTGTTCCCATCAACACCTCATGATCACACAGGCTGGCGTGCTTCTTCCATGTGGGTTTTGTTGCTTCCTTGCTAGATGGCCGCTTGTTTAACTTCAAGCCTTTAAGACCCCAGATGCTATATCTTTTAATAGCCAAGCGCCGTTGGCTTTTTTCACATTTGCTTATACACTCATTTTGTCTTCAGCAATTGTGTCAAGAAGGTGAGCATCACAGAATCCCAGGTTATTAGAACAAAGTGTTCTTGTGTTGAGGGAGGGCTTGAGCAGAGGACCAAAGTCCATCTGCAACTTAGCATATAAGTCATATACCCATATCTCTATCGTTCTGTATTAATATATTAACATAGGTACATGCCTATATTTATACCTCTATGAATGTGTTGTCTCCTAGTTCTTCCTCTGTTTTCTTTTACTTTCCTTCTGCCCCACTATAATTTTCAATCTTCATTCGGCTCTCAGTAATTCCTCAGCTACATTGCACTTGATCAAACCTCACCAGGCATTCTACACCGTACTCATTATTGACTTTAGATTCCTTGTTTTACCCTTGTCCCTGAGTTTATTGGCCTCCCTCTCCCTTTCCCCTATCTCCTCCTCTCCAATGACAAGCCCAACCTCACATCCCTGAACCATCTGTCCTGTTGTTTTCTTCTCTGGATTGTTTATCCTGCCTATCTTATATAGATAGACATATTGAAAAATGAAAGGAAAAAAGCTTGTAAATAGTTCTAGGTCTGTCTGCTAACCCTTATCAATGTTTTCTAATTGGGTCTGATGAGGTTCTAAGCCCTGCCCCCTACTCCCCCCAGTCAGAAGTCTATTTTCAGGATTCCTCAGGGACTTTGTTGCTTTGCTCCCCTTGCGGTTCTGTTGCACTGCCTTCGTGTTTCGCCCCAGTGTGGGTGGGGCAGACTGGGCACAATTCCTGCACTGGCTCTCCAGTGCTGTCCCCATGGAACTGTGGGTCAGTGAGTGGAACATCATATGTCTTGGATGGGTCAGGCTCTATGGTCTTCTCTATGCATTGGCTACTCTGAGAAGGAATGTCATCCTCTAGGCTTTGTGAGCAAAAATGCAGTTCTCACTTTCATCTCCTCTCTTTTCGCTATTTCCCTCTTAGTTTACTCCAGTGTGGTCTGGGAAGACCCACCCTTCTCCCCGGGCTATATATTCAGTCTGTCCTCAGTAGTGCCTTCCGGGAGGGGGTCAATGTAGCTTGGATTCCTTGTAGCTTGGATTGGAGCTGGTCCAGCAGTCCTCTGTTAGTTCACTACTCCATGCTGTTATGTTGCCCTCAAGGTGTGGAGCACCTGGAAGACTTGTGCCTCCTTTACTGTGGAGAAATAAATATAATACCATTCCCATGGCTGTGTTAGTTTCCCCCTCAACTTTCGACTTTTTTTTTTTCCCCACGCCTTTTTAGTTTGGCCGCTATACACATCTCCGAATTGGGTATATTCCTTCTATTGCTATGGGTCTGTTGAGGTTCTTGACATCCATCTGGGATAGTCTAGGGAAGGATTGTATTTCCAAGAATGTGTACATGTCTTCCAAGTTGTTGAATTCATTGAAGTACAGGCCTTCAAAGTACTGTGTAACTAGCCTTTCAATTCCCTTAAAGTCCATTGTAATTTCCCGTTTCTTCCCTCATCCTGGTTATTGATATTTGTTACCTCCTTTTTTTTTCGTGAGCTTTGCTTATCGATTCTGTTATCCTTTTCAAAAAACCAGCTTTTTGTTGCATTGATTATTTGAATTGTTTTCTTGTTTTCCCAATCACTTATATCTGCTCTGATTTTTATTATTTCTTTTTTGTTGTTGTTGCTATTAATAGCATTGTCCTGTTGACTCCATTCTAATTGCTGGAGTTTTTGTGCTAGCTTATCAATCATAAGTCTCTCTTCCTTTTTCATGTGTGCCTTTATAGCTATCAAACTTTCTTTGAAAACACTTTTTATGTGTCCCAAATGTTTATTATGTTGTATTCTCGTTCTCATTAGTTTCTAAGATCTTCCTAATTTCATCTCTGATCTGGGACAGTACCCACACATTAATTGCTTGCCCTTGTTTATTTTTTAGGGGAGGAGTGGTCTTTTAAAAAGAATCATTTTATTGAGGGCTCATCCAACTCATCACAATCAATACATACATCCATTGTGTCACACAAATTTGTCCATTTTTTTTGCCATCGTCATTCTCAAAACATTTTCATTCTACTTGAGCCCTTGGTATCAGTTCCTCATTTTCCCCCATCCGTCCCTGACTCCCTTCCCTCACAAACCCTTGATAATTTATAAATTATTATTATATTTTCATGTATTACACTGTCCAACATCTCCCTATACCCACATTTCTGTTGTCCATCCCCCAGGGAGGGGGTTACATGTAGATCCTTATAATCATTTCCCCCTATCTACCCCACCTTCCCTCCTCCCACCCAGTATCGTCACTCTTACCCCTTGTCCTGAGGAGTTCATCTGTCCTGGATTCCCGGTGCTTCCAGCTCTTATCTGTACTAGTGAACATCCTCTGGTCTAGCTGGATTTGTAAGGTAGAATTGGGATCATGATAGTGTGGAGGAGGAAGCATTAAAGAACTAGAGGAAAGTTGTATGTTTCATTGTGGCTACACTGCACCCTGACTGGCTCATCTTTCCCACAACCCTTCTGTAAGGGGATGTCCAATTACCTTCAAATGGCTTTGGGTCCTCACTCTGCACTCCCCCTCATTCACAATGATATGACTTTTTTGTTCTTTGATGCCTGATACCTGATCCCTCGACACCTCATGATCACACAGGCTGGTGTGCTTCTTCCATGTGGGCTTTCTTGCTTCTGAGCTAGATGGCCTCTTGTTTACCTTCAAGCCTTTAAGACCCCAGACACTATATCTTTTGATAGCTGGGCACCATCAGCTTTCTTCACCACATTTGCTTATGCACCCGCTTTGTCTTCAGCGGTTATTTCGGGAAGGTGAGCATCATAGAATGCCAATGTAATAGAACAAAGTATTCATGCA